TTACTCATAAATCTCCATTTGGGGCAGAGCTTGGCAAAACACTCATCTATCTTCTCTATTTTCCAGCAGCCTGAGTTGGCTTTATGGGGGTTACAGAGACCTTGAATTACCTGAATGCTCATGCTCACCTGTCAGAGAGTTGGTGGAAAGTCAAACATGGTTCTCTGTCTCTCTCTCTATCTCTACTTCTGTCACGGTCTCTAACTCTATGTGGCCACCTAACATGGTCCCATCAGAATGGAGGCTTCAAGGTAGCTTCTTGTATGTTGGCCCAAAGATTCCAAGTGCAAGAAAGGGAGAAGAAATAGAGGAGAGAGAGGCTGCGATCAGGCAATTGTATTGTCCTTGTGCTACCTAAACTCTAGAGTTATGCACCTTGACTTCTCTGCCTTTTTACTTAGTACAGGCAAATTAATTAAGTGGACCCTTATCCAAGAGAAGGGAAATGAGATTCCACATTTTGTGGGAGGAATGTATAAAAAATTTTAAATGTGTTTCAAAACTGCCAAAAATGAAATTGAGTTTGAGTTTTAAATGTCTTAGCTCCCTTTCCTAGAAAATAGAGCCTGATAAAAGGACTAACACTTAGATACTTTGAGAAATATACTCTCAGGGCAGTAAAAGTAAGGACAGGCAGGGGCAAGGCAGGCAGGAAAGAACGCAATTCAAAATGATGCGTTTTCGTTCTGGCCGCTGCTCCTCTACAAGTCCACACGGCAAGGCAATGGCTTGGTAGGAGCCGCACAACTTCAGGGATCATCTTCAGGTAGAAGTTCATGAAATGGAAAAAGATTGGGTCTCATCTCGCTGGCATTTGCTTTCCCCTGTGGTCTAATAAATTATCATCAATTGAAAATACTTCCAATATCATTGAAATACTACTTACTACCTTATAGTGTTCTAAGTCAGAAGTCAAGTGCAGAGCAGTTGTGTTTCCTGCTTGAGTGTAACAATACTGAGATCAAGGTATTGGCCTTCTGAGTCCCTGTATGGAGGCTCTGGGGACCATGAGATTAAGCTTCCAAGCTCTTTCTTGTTGGCAGCTGTCTAAAGCTGCCTTCAGCTCAGAATCTGCCTTCCTCAGCATGCATCAGTCACCTCTGTCTTCAAACCAGCAATAACGAGGTAAATCTTTCTTTCTTTTTTACCGGTACCAGGGATCGAACTCATGACTGCCCGTTTGCAAAGCAGGCACTTAAGCCACTGAACTAAATCCCCAGCCCCAAGGCAAATCTTTCTTGACTTTCAAATCTCTAACTTTGTCTCCTAAGATGAGACTTTAAACACATGATTAGATGAGGCTTCTCTGGAGATAATTTCTCTGTTATTTTCTCTAACTTAGCATATTCCATTAGACCATCTCTTCTCTGAAGTAAAACATAGCATATTATAATTTCGGGGATTGTGTATGTAAGTACACAGCAGCTGGGGCAAAAGGAAATCTTGGGGGTCAGTTTTAGAGTTCTACTTACTGTTCTTCCCATGCCTAAACTGATTTCATCATCTATGTTCAACTTGCTACCCAAACCTGACTGATAATGTATAAAACCAGATGGTTTGGGGCTGACAGTATGTTAATTAAAGATGGAAATAAAACGCTTCCATTTCTGGTCTGCTATCACTTTTGTCAAAAAGAATGTTCAGTGAATCTTAGCACATATTAAATGCTCAATGAAGAGATCCTGAATGAACTACAGCCTGGGTAGAGGTGAGTAAACATTCAAAAGGGAAAACAGAAGAAATGGTTTATCATAACAGGTAGATTTTAAATGAGCACTAGTTGTTTTAGAAGAGAGTCTCTTTAGTTCTATATTAATTACATTCCTGAATTTTGAGAGAATAGATGAGAATCTTACAAAACCAAGTCTATGTTCAGTGAATTCATTTAAAACCAATGTTTGTTGACAGACGAGTGAATAAATGCATTTTGTTTGATGATTCTCCATCAAAGTAGGAAGCTTGTCAAAGTGAAAAAAAAATCCCTAACCTGCTAGTGTATATTAATTTGTACCAAATACTGTAGGAAAACTCTTAAGAGGCAATCTCACCTATAATTTATTATATAGTAAGCATATTTAAAGAGACAATTTCTAAATTTTGAGTTTCAGCAGTGCAAATGAGCTTATTTGAAAACATGTGGGATACTTCTTCCAGCCAAATTAAAATGCAACTCTCTGAAGGCAAGAAAATATATTTACTTTGTACTGAATTTCTATGTTTGTGTGTGTATGTATATTTATAATTCTGTTTAATATTTGTTATATATATTTTTTACTATATAGATTTACTTTCAAAATATTTACTTATAATAAATCTCAGGAGTAAAACATTCATAATTAATCAAAACCATTATAATCTGAGAAATCTCCAAATCATCCCTTAATTTATGGATGTATTAAATTATAATTGTGTGATATAGTATGAGAACCTCAACCTATTCATTACAAATGAATGTCTTTTTAGTTAAAATAATTGTGAAGATATTTTATTGTATTTGGAATGACTCACAAGAGTCACCAAAATAGAAAGGACACTACCTACTATATGATAACACACCTTGAACTCCAAGATGTATCTCAAATGCCAAGCTATTAAAAGTGAGGGGAATCTTCAATTTTTATCATATGTATTATATAACTGAAATATAAATTTTGCTTATTGTATTCTCTACTTTATTCTATTTACTTTTTTTTTTTTTTTTTTTTAAACAATGATGTTCTGGATCCACTAAGTTGATCTTTCCACCCACTAAATGAGTTGACCTGATCTAAACACTAAATCATGTGTTACAGATAAATAGAAACTTCGTTTAACATATACAACGTAGGTGTTAATTGTTCAATTTGATAGTGCAGAAAAAGAAAAGAACCAGTTTAATGGAGACAGAAACCACCTGGAAAGTTTGCAAATTAAGAGTTTAGCTTTGAATGGATGGGTAATGCACAGTGAGACAAAGGAGAGGAAGTGAGGGATTGAGGAACCTAAATTGGAAAAACAAACATCATGAACGTAAATGTAAAAAGGAAACTGCTTCTTTTTTTATAAAGTTATTTAATATATCTATATATTATATAATATACAAGGACACCGTTTAAAAGAAATAAGTCTAAATAATTTTAAAGATGCAAACAAATTATGTTTGCCTAAGAAAATAAATATCAGCCTGAAGGAAATACAGAACCAGCAGACAGAACTTGACACAATTTTTTGAACCTTCTTTATGCAAATTCAAAGGGCTTAAGTAATCTGATAGTGAAGTGCACTAAAAACAACTGACTGGATATTCCGTCTCCTACTTTTCAGTGTTTCTTTTCAGATTCAAGAATTAGTGCAAACAGAAAGCTTTGGAATTTCTTCCTTGCCAATTCCGTGAATTAAAAAATAAAATCTTCGGATATAATGTAGTGACCTATATAAAAAAGGGCTAACTGATATCCTGTGTCTTTTGCCTACATTCATCCTCGTAATTTTACCTTCTCTTCTGACAAAAGCAAGCAAACAAAAACAAGCCCAGGAGCCTGGTTGTGGGTGTATGTAAAATGCACACCAAAGTGCAAATACGTGATCACAAAGGGGAAAAAAAGTGCAAACTTGGCAGTTAGGAAATGTCACTGCAGTCGTTAGTAGGTGAAATTTCAATCCCTTTGATGAAGATACCATCTTTCAGGCAAACCCTGACAGAAAACCTTTAGTTCCTGTTAGACCCCTCCCTCCCCAGTCAGCCGCTGGGCTCCATCTGGAGAGACGGGGGCTCTCCCTCTCCATCATAGCTAAGCGTTCCCAGACCCAGGAGCAACCCTGGGTTTCTGCAGAGCACTCGACTTGCAGTGAAGTGTCCCAACTCTGCAAAGGACAGCTGGAAATGGATTTAAAATGGCAACGCGAGCCAATCAGAGCGGTCGCGCTGAAGCGGACATTTACACGCGCCTCCTCCACATGCACAACGGAACCTGGCGGTGCCTAACGCCCTGCTTGGGGCTGCAAATCAGACGTTTTTATTCCACGGTGGTCTGTACTTTTGAAAGAAAAATTCTTCCCTGGGTGAAAGATTTTATTTTGGACTTGGTCCAAAATAATTTTGGGTGTGATGTGTGAAAATCTGAACCTAATTTTTTTTCAGAGTTTTGGTGTTATTCGAGGATGAAAAAGAGGTACATTTAAAATAAAATGTACTCCACCTTTTAAAAACGGACTGTGGCCATTATGGTGTTCACATAACTCAGAAACTGTCCAAGCTATAAAATTAGGACTTGGCAGAAAGGGAGTTCTCTGGGAGAAGGTTAAATCAAGGTAAACCGAAGGCAGAGTTAGGCAGTTGGTACTACTACGGTGTTAGGATTCTATGAAATCACCTTTTATCCTGTGGGCATCCGAATCCTTGTGTGTAGTGCCCACTGGGGGTGGGGGGTCTGTCGCCCCCATTCTTTTCCAGAGAAAAAAGGCGGCGAGGTCTGCGTGCGTGTGTGCATTGTTTGCACGCGTCTGCTAGAGTGCACATCTGTGTTCCTGTATGTGTGTGTTCAAGTGTGCGTGTATTTACATGTATATTTGCGAGTGCACGTGTATCTCCGCTTAAGTGTGCCTGTGATTACACGTGTGAGCATGTGTATCTTTGTGCACGTTCCCTGTGTGTGCGCGCTCGCCGGCGCGCTCTGTGGTGGGGGCATCCCCAGGAGGGGTAGGGTGTCAGGGGCCACCTCCTACTGCTCAGCAGTCCCTTCCCACTCACAGTGTGAACTAGAAAATTGCAGCCCCTGCAGCTAGACGCTTCCGGCGAAGTTTCCTCTCTGCACCGAGGAGGCGCAGGTAAAGGGCAAGCCCGGAAAGGCGGCCGTGGGACGGTCCTGTTCCCGCGCCTTTGGAGGACAGCCGCCGGGGTGGTGACCTCGGGCGGCTGGCGGCGGGGGTGGGGGTGGTGGAAGGCCCAGAGGGAGCGGGCTCGGGATCCCCGGCCTGTCCCTTTAACCCCGCCGCCGGGCAGGAGCACGTGAGCCAGGCTCCGGGTGGCACCCGGGCGCCGCCGCCGAGGCAGTTGTGTTTCGAACGCTGCCTCTGGCTCGCGGCCAGGCGCCTTGGCTCGGCGGTCCGCCTGGCCTCCCTCCTCCTCATACTTTTCCTCCTGCGCAGCCCCCTCCCCTCTATCCGCCCACGATTAGAAGTGGGCACTCCCCCCTCCCGCACCCCGTCCGCCAGCGCACACACACTCATCCCACTTGAATCCCCGGCCAGCAGCTCAGAGACTCGGGCAGCGCGCTCTGGGTGCCGGACGCAGGAGCTCGCAGCCCGTCCCTCTCCGACTCTCTGGTGCCGCCGCTGCCGGCTCCCGCCACCCGAGGAGGCGCGGTGCCACCCACTGCTTCTGTCTCTGTCCCTCGCTGGCGCCCGGTACCCGACCCTGTCCCGGCAGAACCTTCCCATCCTCCCTTTGCTTTCCTCTCTCTCTCTCTGTCTCTCTCTGTCTCTCTCTGTCTCTCTCTCTCTCTCTCTCTCTCTCTCTCTCTCTCTCTCTCTCTCTCTCTGAGCGCGGGGGGGGGGGGAGGAGGAGGAATTCTTTCCCCGCCTAACATTTCAAGGGACACAATTCACTCCAAGTCTCTTCCCTTCCAAGCCGCTGCCGCAGCGCTCCAAGTGCCGGCAGCTCCAGATCCCAAACCGCGAGAAGCGTCTCCCCGACTCCAAGCCCTCTTCCTCCTCTCCCTGCTCCCCTCCTCCTCCGCTCGCCACCTCCACCTCCGGCGCTCACCCACCGCGGCGTCCACCACCGGCAGCGCCTCCTTCTCTCCTCCTCCCCTCTTCTCTCTCTTTGGCAGCCGCTGGACGTCCGGTGTTGATGGTGGCAGCGGCGGGAGCCTGACAAGCAGCAGCCCTCGCCGCACGCCAGCTCTCGCTCCCCTCGCCGGTTCCTGCAGCCCCTCACCCAGCCTCCCCAAAGGTGCTGGGCAGATTCCGGGAGGCGGAGGCGAAGCGGCTGCAGCAGCGGTAGCGGCGGCGGCGGCGCGAGGCAGCATGAGCGCACGCGGGGAAGGCGCCGGGCAGCCGTCCACTTCAGCCCAGGGACAACCTGCCGCCCCGGCGCCTCAGAAGCGAGGACGCGGCCGCCCCAGGAAACAGCAGCAAGTCAGTACGCGGGCGCGCTGGGGACCCCAGCCCACCCCTGTTGCCCGTGCGAGAGCCCGCGATGCTCCGGGAACCTGAGCGCGGGAGCCCGGTGGCCGCGGTGGCCGCGCGCCGCGTGTTGTCCGGGGCGGGGGCGGGCGGCAGAAGCCACCAGAGTGAGCGGCGAGACGGCGGGCGCCTGTGCCCGTCGGGGCCGAGAGGTGCGGGGCCGCGACCGGCCGGCTGCAGGGGACAGGCAGGAGGTTGGGTCGGGGGACGCGCGTCCTCGGACTTTCGCTATTGTGCACCGCCAGAGTGGCGCGGTTGTAGCCTGGTGAGTGGCAGCGGCCGACGTCCCGTAAACCGGGACTCGCCGACGCTTTCTGAGCCTCTTTTGCAATTGCACGAAGAAAGCGGTCGCCGAGAACTGGGGCGCTCGGGCCAGCCAGGGTTGAAAGAGTCGGAGTCCTGGGGACCTTCGGCTCTTTCTTTCTCCCGCCTCTCGGGATTGCTTGCCGGGAGGAGGTTGGCGCGCCGTAGCCGCCCCCTTGGCGCCCTCCCCAAGTTCGTGGTGGCTCAAGGTTTGTACTCCCGACAAAGAACGTGTGGGGACCTGGCTGCTGAATGTTCCCTGGGATCTTTAAATGCCGAGCTGCAGCCGCCAGAGGTGGCCCGGAGAAGGGGCTGCAGGGAAACCGAGGCCCCCACGGGACAGGGTTAACTCGCTCCGCCAGGGGCGCGTTGGAAGGAGTGTCCGAGAGAGTGCACGGTAGCTAGCTAGGGTCACTTCCTTGCCAGGCTCCCTGTCCAGGCCTCAGAGCTGCAGACATTAAAACGTTCTTCCCAGGACGGGCGGTTAGGGACTGGGAGAGGACGATCGAGGGGCGCCGCGGACCCCGCGCAGTGGAAGGTTTTGTCTGCGGATGCAACCAATTAAGTGTGCAGCCTGCTCTTGCAGAGCTGCGCATAGCGCCCAGGGCGGGATGGGGGTAGTTCGCTCGCCGAAATTTTCAAGCCTAGGCGGGGAGGGTTGGGGTGGGACAGGGCTATAAAGAACATGTGAGCTTCACTTCCTCGGTTTTTAAATTTTCTCTTTCGTTCCTTTCCCTTAAGTCGCTTTCCTTATGGCAAATAGCTCAAATAATCCTAGAGTCTCAAAGCTACACGGGAGCAAGATTGGGAAATGAACAATGTTTGCCTTCCAGTGCGTTTTAGCTAAACTGAGAGAGGGCTGTACCTTTTTGAATCCCTCAAAGGAAACAAGCCAATCTAGAGGCCCCTGAGTTTTCCCGCTCTGCGCAAGCGACACTTCTTACCACGTTTGGATCCTGTTTTACACCTCCCAGGAAGTCTCAGCCCTCCCCCCTTGTTTCCAACTCTAGCTCCTCTAATTGCACCCCCCCACACACACTTTTTAAAAAAACCTAAAAGAAAATTCGGTGGGATCTGGAGGTGATTGGAGGTCTTACCTTTGAGTGAAGGCAGAGTTCACAAAGAAAGAAAAATGTGTCTTCGATGTGTTTGCTCAGGATGTGCATACTGGCACTAGTGTCCCACTGAAGCTTGAAGGAAACCTTCCCCGGATTCTCTCAATAAGATGCAAATTTTCATTGAGAACTGTAATGCAATTAATTAGTCTCATTTCATTCGAATCTGAATGAAATCTGAATAGATGACTCACAAGGTAAATACTTAGGATCTGGACTATTAATCATCACATTTTCTTAACCACTTGGGTATTTACTGCTTGGCATAGGAGCCATTTAAAGTTCTGCTAAACTTAGTGATTGTTTCAATTTCTCCTTCCTCGGTACTTCCGGTCCTCTTCATTTTGCCCCCCTTTAGTTTTCTCCAGTGTACACTCGAAAGTTTTCTCAAAAGAAACTTTTGAAGAAAACATGGTATTTTTTTTTTTTTTTTTAAAGAAAGATACCTAACTTTTAACTGGAGACCATTCCTGCCTTTCGGAAAGGAAGTGAAGAATTGAAGCAATTATCTAGATAATTCAAGCAAAACCTCCCACCTCAGATTTACTATAATTATTTGGAAATTTTAGAGGGAATAGAGTTAATTTGAGCTGAAGAACTTGGATAATTGCTCCAATATTTAACTCAATGTGTCAATTGCATCCTAATCGACCTAGAATGCAGGTATACATGGAAGATTAAGATGGGAACTTGTTAGAATATGTACAGTGCTGAGATAACTATGAATCTGGCTTCATATTTCTGTTGTTTGACATGCTATAATGGACAGTGATATTTGTTTAAAATGCTTATTATTTCTATAAATCGCCAAATGCATATCCTTATAAATTTTATACCTTGAAATACATGATTTTTTTCCTAAAATCTGCAACCTTTCAAGGTTTTGCATACCTTTTAGGTATGAAATACAATCTAGTCTTCTTATGCAAAATAGTTTCCACTTTGAAACCATGGATTAAAAATGTAGTAATTTCCTCTTTCTGTGAACTTTGTAGCATCATCATTTATCCTCCAGCTGAATGTGTTCCAACAACTGTTGAGCAGCACATGGAGAAAATGCAGCTAAAGAGTCAGGGTCAATTTCTTTCACACGGTCTTGCCACAACATCTTTTTTTCCCTCCACAATTAGGAGCCAACCTGTGAGCCCTCTCCTAAGAGACCCAGGGGAAGACCCAAAGGCAGCAAAAACAAGAGTCCCTCTAAAGCAGCTCAAAAGGTGAGACTTCTCAAGTTGACCTCTTCTAACTTCATCAATGATTATAGGAGCCACCCTTTATTTTTTCCCATTCTAAATTCACTCTTAAGGATTTGTCCTAGGTGAGTAACCCAAGACACATTTTCTACACTGAACATTAAGTAGGAGTTAATTTTTTTTAATAAGAAAGCACTGAACATAAAAAGGTTCATGGAGATGCTTACTGTGTTATTTTTAAACAAACAAATAAACAGCAAATAATCCGATCCTTAACTGGGGGTGGAGGGATGAGGAGAGAAGGGCTGGGGGACGGTGGGGTAGTAGTGGAGAATGATGCAATTAATATTTGCACCAAGTATGAAATAATTAAAAACTTTGGATTCTTTGCGTTGGTGAAGTTTTTACAATTTCCTCTGAAAAATAAGAGATAAATGTATTTTGTACTTATTTACATGACTACTATAAGCCTAATTCTTCTATTAAAAATACTTTATGAAGTGGTTGACTATAAGAAGTAAATTCAACTATATAGATACTGGAAAAATTTCATGAATTTTACAACTTTAAATGGGATGATAAATTTTATAATAAACCTGCAATACAGTATACATAAGCTCAAGAAAACTCAAGTGTTGTGCTCTGAATTAGAGAATGCAAAAATTTTAAAATAAATATTTGACTCATTTCATATATATTTTTTGGCAGGATAGAACCCAGCCAAGTTTGACAGTCAATGTTTTTCTCAATAAAACTTAAATTGCGGTTTAAAATAACTTTGTGTTGGTTGTATTTGAGTTAACAACAACAAAAAATCAGAATAAATGCAAGTATACCCAAATGAAGATGAATGTATAGTCACTATATTTGGCTTTATAAATAAATAAAAAATTGCATTTCATTTGTAGGGTTGTATAGCAAGCTCAAAATAAAGGTTAAAAAATCAGAAATTTTGATACATCTTTTCAAAAGATTTGAATATACCATATACAGAAGACCATGTTAAAAACGATTATCTGTTCATCTTTTGGGCATTAATGTTTTTCTGTGATTGTGGGCACCATATTTATTATATGTGATGGTTTTCAGTGTTGACCTACCAAAGCAACTAGTGTTACATAGAAAGCTATTTAGGAAACAATTATGAGTATTTTTCTGTTTTAACAGTTTTGAATAAAGTGAATGGAGGAGATTTTTCATATATTTAAATTTAACTGCTTCATTCACTTAGATTTAATTGTGATTCACATTTAATCAAACTTTAAAGTTGCTCTAAGTATCTTTGTTTTAAAAATGACAATATGTAACCTGGTATTCTTAATGTGAACACTCTGGAAAAAATAATAGTTTTACCTGACTTATATATTAACTAAAAAGAAGTGATTTTACCAAAGAGTTAGATTCTGTGTTGTATACATACAAAATTTACCTTAATTTTGCTCTCAGGAATTGGAAAAGAAATGTGTTGGTAAGTAACTAACATTTAAGCTATGGTATAATTGCTCTAAAAAATGCAACAGTATAGTATCTTCCAAGAAGAAATCCTTAAAGATCATCATAAGTAAATTATTTAGAATGTAATACAAAAAAGGAAAATGAATTATCTTCCAGATTTTACTGCATTACATTTATTTGAAGTAGATAGGAATTTTTCGACCACCTCTTCATTTTAAGAAGTTTGTCACTAACAGTATCTTTATGGACAAAAGGAAAGCTAAGACTTATGATTAGTTTACTACCTAAAGCAAAATAACCCCAAAAGTCAACCTATTCACAAGTAAAGTTTGATTTATTTTCAGTGACCTCAGTAATAGACATTTCCAAATAATGATAGGAGGCCATTCAGTTTTCTGATAATTCTTCCTTTGTATACATATATTAAATTTACAACAGAAGTAGGGTTTCTTCTTCCTAAAGAAGTATCTGATAACTTTCATTCTTTAAGCACAATGATTGCGTTTAGTTCTGTTAACAAAATATCTTTTAATAAAATTGAAAAATACATTTGCCCATAGTGTAACTGTTACTTTTCTTCAGTTTTGTAAATCATACTTCATTTGCAGAATGTAATACTTTTCAAATAATAATAATAAATGACATTGATGAATTGCATGGCTTATATAGACTAGGTGTTTTCACATTCAAATCAATATTGAGTATGCTATTATCTTATATAAACATGGTTATCAAACATACTTGTTATTCAAATGCCTATTGTATTCTAACAAAGCATATGTTCATTAAGGTTTGAGCTGTAAATCTTTTTAAAAAAATTTATATTGTTCATAACACACTACAAGAAAATATATCTTGTTAGACTGATCAGAGTTACCAGTCTTCTATGATTGAGTATTTTTCTGCACACCGAAACACATCCAGTGAAAAATATATTATAAAAACTGGTAAGTATATGAAGGAAAAGAATTCTAAAATGAGAAGAGATGTACATTGAATCTTGATGATGCTGTGTGTTCAAAATTTCTTGCTACTTGAAGTATCTTTACTTATGAAGTTTGTGTTTGGACTCAGCAAGTGGCCTTGGGGCATTTGAAAAACAAAACTGCTTGTTAGAAAATTAACAGTGTGAAACTTGACAATGCATGAAGAATGTTGCCAGGCCAAATGGAGGACTATTAAATTAACCATCACTTAAATTTCAGGCCACATTCAATAGAAAATTGATTTATATTGTATATAAAACAAGCAAGTTTATGAAAATGCAATTTTTTGTTATTTCTTATGGAAGAGAACATTATTCTTTACTTATATTTTATGAAAAGTCATTTCCATGGATGGACCATTACATGACAATTCCATAGTCTTTCCTGACAACTTAAGTCTGGATGCTTAAACTTCCTCCCTGAGCTAGTTTTATATTGTTATCTTGATAACAGAAGAGCAGAAGTTAATGTTTTCCTAAATAAATAATTTGAGAGAGTCTTATCCCTTTTGTTTTTAAGTTTGAGATATACTTATTCCAGGTGTCTCTTAATTTCCTTTTTTTTTTCTTTTTGTTTGTTTGTTTCCTTCACGATTGTGCTAGGTGGAAATACTTTGGATTTTTGCATTTCCCACCTTTGGAGAGAAGGAAGATATAACCTCTTTTATGCTTTGTTTTTTAATAATGAGAGAACTGTCACTAATCCTTCTGTTTAAAAAGTCACAAGTCTTTGAATTTGCCTTTAGGTTTCAAGTTAATTCTCGCTCAAGTGCTTCTAAAAGTATTTTTCTGAGGTTGAGTTAAATTTTAATAGAAGAAAAATGATTATTAAAAAACATCTTAGATGTGAGGTAGCCTTACCTTATAATGTCATGGATTTGCTTGACTTTCCCTTCGACTTTAGATGTCATGGCCAGATCTAGAAAGCAAAACTCAGACTTAAAATATCATCCAGGTAAAGTATGTGTGCTTCAAGTAATGTGTTTGCGGTAAATTTTAAATTTTCATCTTCAATTTGCTATAAAAAGAAAATCTGATATCAACTGAAGACTATAAAGAAGTATCGTTTGTACTTCTAGAAATGTGACTGATTTTCATAAGTTATTACTAATATCAATTACAGATGTTTTAGGAAGAGATCATGTGGGTTTTACTCATCATTTCAAACTAAGAGTTCTAACTCTTAGAGCTACATGAGGACAGAATTTTTTTTAGACTACATTAGGACCATTGAAGGGTTACCAAAGACATAAATAGTTGCATGTGAATCAGAGAAAGATGACCTCGGGGGTTGTGTAATATTCCAGTCCATGGGTTCTACAGCCTTTGTGGGAGTTTGGTTGTGTGTGTGTGTGTGTGTTTTCATGGGCAGGCAAGTTTCATCATGGAATTCAGAGCTCTGTGTGAGTGAGTATGCAAATGAATTCAGGCATGTAGAATTCATTGGTTGATTGTTTCTAGTATGTTAGTATTTTAGGCTGACTTACTTAAACAGGCTCACATTTATTTGCTTCACTTTGCCAGGAAGACAAAGTCTTAGTGTATTAGTAAACTCCATCTGGCAATGCCTTGAAATCATTAAAGATTGCATTCCAAATATGGGAGATTCAAATACATTTGAGTTATTTTACGTAGTAACCTATGTCAGGGAATCCATAGTTATAATTCTCTGGAAAGTATCATCCTTTTGAGTTCTTTCATCAAAAGCACCTCATTATTTTGGCTAACCTACATCCCTGGCTCTTTTTTTTTTTTTTGGTACCAGGGATCCAACTCATGACCTCGTGCTTGCCAGGCAGGCGCTTATACCACTGAGCTAAATCCCCGGCCCCGCCTGGCTCATTTTTAAATCCAAGTCTCAGCAGATCATTTTGCTAAAGAGTTTGACTATACCAAATTATATTCTATTACCTTTCAGTTCTTTCTTAAGAATAGATGCCATGAAACATTTTATGCCAGTTAAATCCTTTGAATAGATCTTGTCCTGTTAACTTTGTGCAGTTTCTAGAGCTCACTTTAAAACCGTACAGGTTGACATCAGTTATAAATCTACAGTTATGTTCTGCCAACCAGGAGAGGAAAAAAAAGAATGGGAAATTGACTGAATCTTAAGCTATTGCTTGATAATATTATATTGCATTAGTTGCACTGAACAATTCTGAATAGCATTTCCTACTTGATTTAGTGTTGGGTAGTAGTAGTCATTCTCTTTAGGATTATGTAGGAGACAGTTTGCTCAGAAGGCAATGTTTGTGAACTCTTGAATTGTAGGTATTGATTAGCTAATTACATTATACATAAACAGAAGATTTGAAGGAGGAACTTCTCCAACGTTGAAAATGATAACTTCTGCTATTTTGGCCTGGATTATTAAGCCAGTATTTGTACATGTGAAGACAGGCATGGGCAACATAAGGATGTGAGAGCTGTCAATAAGGGCTTCCTTGAATAACATAATTATGAGCTATAATAGATGATGGAATTTTCCACTGAAAAATATATTCTAAGGCAAGTCATAACTACTTTTCAAGGCTAAAAATGGTTGAATTAACAATTGGAAAACCTATCGAAAATATAAAATGAAACTTGGCTCAATGTTTAGTCCAGTTGATTTTTATATCAGTGTACATTACTAAACACTATTTACATTTTTGAGTAATTAAAATAAATAAAATGTGATTTTCTAGACATAGGTTTGTCAGGTCCATATATATTTAGGTCCAGGCAGGTCTTAGTCTTAAAAAAAGAAAAAGAAAACAAAGCATGGTCACATGTAGATTTTTTTTTCTGTGCAAATGTATTGATTGATTTGAAGTGGGGGAGTTCTGGCTTTCCTCCACTGTCTGTCATTCAGATAGATAAATAGATAGATGAATAGAGATAGAGGTAACATGAAAGCTTTTAGAATTGCAGAAAGTTAATAACTATTTAAACTTGGCCCTGAAGTTAGTTAGACTTGAATTATTCTTTTGTTTCCCAATCACTAGTCTTGTCTATATCTTTATAGGGATCTTGCATGTGTTTTAAGTGTCAACTTTTCATTTTTACCTGAGAAGGCTTTCTATTGCTTGTTTAAATTTGTCATGGCAATTTTATTTCATATTAAAATATCTTCTTAAAGGACACACTTTTGTTGCCTTAACATGAGGTTGAGTCTTTGTTCTACTACTTATGAATGGTAGGCAGGTTGGTTAATTTCCCATGAAGTAGAAAGCAAGGAAAACAAATGGTTGCTCTACTTATGTAAAATTATGCACAGAAAATCACTGGAAGGCTTACGAAATTGGTAGGTGTTCTCTTTAATATTAGCATTTTAAAGTAGGATACAAGAAATTACATTTGAGTACCTAACAAATGTTATAGCCGTCAGGCAGTCCATATAAATATACACATATAAATTAATCCTTATGTTAGTTATTGTAATCCTTATTTCAGAAATGATAAAATGGTTTCAGAGTTATAAACTGACATGTCTAATGTTCAATTCAGTTAAATGGTGACACGTGCATTTGAATTCAACTCAGATTCTAAAGCTTATTCCATTTCTGCTATCACGTACTGTCAAATATTTTATGAAATATTTGTTCCATGATAGATTTTTTTGTGTGTTGTCTACAATGCAGATTTCAAGTTAGTTTTGAGAAACTTGTAGAGCCCCTTACACCATAGTTCTGTGAACTTGTGGATTATAGCAATCCCCACAGAAGTTTTGTTAAGTGAGAAAGCTATAAAAAATGATTTATAAAATTTGTTAAGTTCTAGAATTTTGATAAGAGAAAAACAAAACATAATATAAACACTAGAGCTCCTTTCTTCTCTATTTCCTTCCCTCTTCCTCCTTTCCTTCCTTCTTTCAATAGAGATGTAATTAAGCACTGTTTTCAATTTCAAGAGAGGTATTTGCTAGCTGAATTCTTTTTTAAATTTTTGATAAAAAGGGGAGTATATTTTAGAGCCCAGTGTGCTAACACTTCTGAAAGAAATAAATACATTTCTGGTTCAACATTCCTCCTTGTTCTCAGGAATTTGTTTCTAAACATTACAAATTCAAACATACAGTCTGAAAAGAAATAAAATGCAAATGAAAAGTAAAACTTTTAGAAAGATATGATAGTTATGAATATGATCATATAACATTCACAACTATACAACATTCACAATTATAATATATAGTATAGTTATAATATGGTGCTGGCAACTCTCAAATTTTAGTTCCTATGTCTTTCCCCCGCCTCCATATAAGCAGTAAATATTTAAAACTAGTCATGTGTCACTTTTACATGAATATTTTAGTTTAGAACCAAATTCTATGCAGGCAAAAGAAAATTATACATTTCTACAATATTACACATTTGACATTAGGACAAAATCAGCCCCCTGAATGTTTTATCTTTGAAAAACAATACCTTACAGAGCATTAGACACGGGAAAAACAACATTAAAGCCAGAATTTTCCAATGCATAAAAATCCTGAATCTCTGCTGGTTTACAAACTAAAGTCCTAACTTGTTTTGCAGCCTTTGTGGACTTTGATTAGAATGATTGAATGATTAAATGATGTGGGTTTTAAAGAACAATTGAAAACCTCCCAGATCGACGCCACCCAGCACAGCTAATGTGTTTCTTCTAGATGTAGTCTCAGAAGAGGGTTTCGGTTTACATGTAACTCTGGCCTGCATGACCAAGGAGCAAGTTTGCTTTTGACGAGTCTGAGTGATAATCATGGTATTTTTTGCCCCTGTGTTAATGGTACGAATTTTATTTTTCAATAGACTTATTGTCAATGAGACGCTCATTTAAAAGTCATCTTACTTGCAGGTCTTCCTTTCTCTTTGAGAGATTTGTTTTCTCTGACTTTGAAATACAGAGAAACCCTTAAAAAAAAAAAAAAAAAACTTTGATAGATTTCAGATACACCCAGGTCACATCATGGTCCTGAAACATAACAATTGTGCAGAAAAGCCTGGTGAGACACCCTTAGCTTTCAGATCAACTGCTACCTCCCCCAACGCCACCTACTACCCCATTTCCATTCCCACTAAAAGGGATTTCTACCTTCCATGTCTGTGTAACTTACGCTTGAGTAAACCATGCAAGCTTCCAGTGACTCCTAAAGATTAAATCAGAGGCTGTGTCTTTGCTAGGGAATTCTGTGCTCTCCTAATTCACCATGCAAAGGGTTTTTGAAAAACTACCGGTGACATATTTGATTTGAACCTTCTGTAAGAATGGACTAACCTAAAGGAAAACTTTCCTTTTAAGGGCTCCATCTTGTTAGGAATGAATATTTATGAGCACCTCATTGATGGCAGGCATCTCCAGTTACCTTGATGTTGCCTCATAGAAGATGATATCTCCATTTTAGAGATGAAATCAAATTAAGATTTTCAGGGACTTGCCCAAAGTCAAAACTAAAGTGGCAAATCTGGAACTTGAAGTAAGCTTTCTATGGGGGAATCTGTTCCTCTCAGGGGATCTCCCTCTCTCCATGAGAAAACACTCAAAGGTAGTGTGGCTTACTGGGCATTCCTGGCTTTCACTTAATTTAATTCATCCTCCCTATAACTGAAGGTAAGGTGATGCCACAAACTGACAAATGATTCCTTTGTGGAGCTCTTCACAAGTAATAAACAACAATTTAGAGACACTAATTTTAACAGCTCCTAAAGGTGCTCAGATTTCTTTCAGTTATGGAAAATTGGCCAATACAATAACAATTTGTTTCCAAATATTTTTCTCTGTTGTTAACTTGTGTGCTATAGGGAGATGGCATTTTTAGGAGCATGGTTTGTGACATCAACAAGAATTGGGTTCAGGCTTCAAGTCGGCTACTTACTGGCTTAGTCTTGGACAAGTTATTCACCTAAGCTAAGATGTAATTGCTCATTTACAAAATAAGAAATAATACCTACTTTATAGGCTGCTGGATAGATTAAAGTAACACATGTGACTGATTTACTTAGCCTAGTGCCTGTGTTTAAATGCTCAATTAATGTAAGCTAACTTTATAATCACAGAATTTGGGTTAATTCAGGGGCATGCTAGATAATAATGCCAGACATTCATCTATCTACATATCTGTCATTTATGTACATGTATTTTTGTTAGAGTAAAGAGAGGAAGGAAAGTTTCATTTAGTAGGATAGATTCATAATTTATCTCACTTCAGTATAGTTAAATACAGTTAGATCACTGGCTATTAATCTAGATAACAAAAGTATCCTGGCTCAGGTTACCTATATTTTTGAGTTAAAATAGCCTTGGGATGATTCTTGTACCCAGAACAGCAGATGATGTTTTCATTCTTCTGAAAAGAATAAAAACATGTTTTTAGAGAAGGTAGATAAGAAGCAGTTTGTGTGTGGGGTTTGATGTGTGTACTGATAATGCTTAGCATCGGAATGGAGGTGACAGAAATGGAGAAAAGGCTAGTTACTTTATGAATAATGTTTAAAGTTTGATTTAAAAAAGCCATTGATGCCAGAAAAGTCTGTGAAATAAAGCAATTAGACAAATGTAGATAGTTGGAAATATATTCATGTCATTTTGTTGAGTGTGAAATTATTAATATAAATTTTTAATTATTTTTAGGTAGCCATATTTTTCATCTCAGGGGCAAACATTAATGATCTCTATCAGTCTTTTTCCCTGCTTAAGTGAACTGATTGACAGGTGATTGTTTTGGGCAAGAAACAGGAAATTAACCATGTAGAAGTGGGCATATGTTTATTATTTTGAGGTAGAATGCTTATATATTCTTTTTCACATTTAGACTTGCTTTCCACTAGCAGTATAGGTAGAAGTGCTTTATAAATTCACTGTATCTGTAGTAATTTTTACAACTTTACAGCAAATTTTTTACAAAAATTTTAATCATTAATTCATTTTCTAAAAATTATATAATCATGGGATGTGGAACTATTTTACTATGAACAGAAACAGAAGAAAGCAATTTTACAAAAGCATTTTCATGTTTTTCAGAAGGAGAGTCTTATGTTCAGGGGTTGCATAGGTGCCTAATATCTCATGCAATGAAAAACGAAGGCGTTTACTAAAATATACAAAAGATGGCGAATCTTAAAACGTATCTGCTGGCACAGCACTTATAAATAATGTCAGGTGGGAAGGTATGTAACTTCCTTTTTTTATTTTGCAGAAAGCAGAAGCCACTGGAGAAAAACGGCCAAGAGGCAGACCTAGGAAATGGGTGAGTGAAGGTCATAATTTCTGTTCTTTTAGTAAAGAAAACATGCTGTTTTCTAAAAAATAAAACTATGAAAAATAATTTTCTTTTGTGAATTACATGAATTGTGAACTTCCAGGTGGATGAATCTTCAAAAAGTTTAACAAGCAAATGGTACGTTATTACTGATTACCAGAAGGCTCCAGGGGTCTACACTGTCACACTTTGCTTTCTTGAAGGTGACTCCTTTTTCTATCTCATTAACATGAAAGGGACCTCCACTCTTCCTTAGAAGGAATTGACAATGAGATGGCTTGTTCTGTGGGTTGAGTACCTGGGATTAAAGATATTATGAAATCTTGGAAGTTGATTACAAATGGCAATAAAATTCAGATGAAATAACTTTTTCTTCCTTCCTTCTTTCCTTCCTTCCTTCCTTCCTTCCTTCCTTCCTTCCTTCCTTCCTTCCTTCCTTCCTTCTTTCTTTCCTTCTTTCCTTCTTTCCTTCTTTCCTTCCTTCCTTCCTTCCTTCCTTCCTTCCTTCCTTCCTTCCTTCCTTCCTTCTTTCTTACATTTTCCTTTACTTTGGCTTCCTCTATGGCTGTTTTGGACACATGATTTTATAGGTGGTTTATGTTTTTTCTCTGACACTGACTTTGTTATGAAATAGGGTTTTAATTTCCAGGTTTTGTTGCTTCCCATAGTCATCATTTTCTACATACTGACAGCAGAGATAACTCCACCTGTGCTTGATCCCACATGTATACCGATGTTCAGAAATTCAGTGGCTGCTGAAGAGCTCTGCTCATTTTATAAACTTGAACACTGCTCCCTTAGTCACCACATTACCTGTGTCTTTCCCCTGACAGAGAAGAAAAGTCCTAAAATTAAGTACAACCATGTGAGGAAGGGCAAAGGCATCCTCTGTACCCAGTATTACATCTGCTGAATTCTTTGGTTTCCTGTACCTTCCACCCTGGTTTGCTCTTCATGCTCTAGGGTTTTTTTTGTTTTTGTTTTTGTTTTAATTTTTTGTTTGTTTCTTTCCTGTTCTCTTGGATTATATATTTTTTGTTAGTTTGCCATTCCTTTCTCTTCCTGAACCCTGCATCACATTCTATATATACTTTAGCATTGACTTTCATTTAATTTATTCATCTTGTATTCTTTTCTCTGCTCCAGTGTATTGGGATTAAATTTCTTAGTGTGAGGAAATGGGGATGATTTTAAGATTACAGACATCTCAGTGTTACAGTATTAAAATAAAAGCATTTCATTCAGCCTTGTGTTCAATAAATAAATTATCTCCAAACCTAGCCACTGCATGTTCATCATCCACCTTATCTAATTAGCTTATTTTTTGAGAGGGTCATTATCCCTTAAACTTGCCTCTTCCTTCCTGGAAAGCCCAGAACACTAGAAAATCTTCCATCTGGCTCACTGTAGCTTCTTCCTATGACAGTCTCTCACCCTTTTCTGGGCGTAGCATAGTAAATGTTTTCATGTTCACTCATAGTAGCCCTTCAAATATTTGAGGACAATTAATACAAATGCTTTGGTCTTTTTTTTCTGTTTTGATTATCTCCAGTCATTTCATCTTTTTCCCTCATGAAAGAATATTCTTATCTTTTTGAAAGCATGTTTGTTTTTTAATCTTTTGAAATATGTCACCCCGAACTAAGTATCATATTCTAGCTATGGATTCTATAACCAGTTAGTTTGTTATGTCTTTTGCTATAAATATGGTTCCAGTTAATTACTGCTGTTTAATCAACTACCCAAAAATTCAATAATGTTTAAAAAATCTATTTTAGTCTCCTGTAGTCTTTGAGTCAAGAATATGGTCAAGGCACAGCAGAAAGTTTTGTGTCTATCCTAGGATGACTGAGGCCTCAGCTGGTAGGACTCAAATATCTCAGGTTGACTTTGTTACATGGGGTTTAGAATTTGGAAGCCTCTTTCTTCACTTATAAGTGTGGTCATTGGCTGGAAGTCTGAGCATGTTCCCTGGTAGTGCATACATGGCGTCTCCAGCTCGCCCACTTCAGGGTAGTCAACCATCTTATCCCTCCTCAGAATTCCCAGAGAGTGTTCTGATAACCCACAAGAAATCACCAGCCCTTTTCTGGCTTAGTCTCAGAAGTCAAAAAGTGCTGTTTCCATCATAGGCCAATGACCACACTGTTGACCAAGTTAATCGTGACAAACATTAAATGCAGGGCTGCTGTTTTCTAAGTCTCAGAACTTTGAAAAAGCATTCCATCCCATTGAACTAATCAGTAAGAAAAGCCATGTGTAATCTACCAGGCAGTATAATAAATAACAGACACTATATGGGGTGCTTGAAGTCATAGGATTAATGTGGCTAAAATGGAGTAAAATAAGGTACAAACAAATACAAGGAAAAGGGCCTGGGATATAGCTCAGAGAAACAGCACCTGCCTGGCAAACGTGAGGTCGTGAGTTTGAAGCCCAGTACAATGGAAGTTAACCAGCCAAATACTCCCATCAGGTGGCACTTCCTATCTCTCTGACTTTCAGGCTTTCTATCTTTGAGTTGTGCTACAATGTGCTCCAGTTAACTTTCATAGATTATAGTCATGTCACTGCTGCCTTCTCAAAACCTTCTATGGCTCCACAACTGGCCAGAGAATTAATTACAACCTACCCTACTACTTCAAAGTCCACTGGTTTCTGCCCAACTCCTTTTTTTCTTGAGACAAGGTCTCACTGTGCAGTTTAGGCTGCTCTTGAATTCACTTTGTAGCTGAGGCTGGCCTTGAACTCAACAATGATCCTCCTGCCTCAGCTTCCTGTGTGCCGAGATTACAAGCATGAGCTACCACACCAGGCTGCCCTACTCTTTATATGGCTTTATTTCCACCACTCATTTTCACACAGCTGGTGTTTCTTCTATGCTGGAATAAAATGCACAGCAAAAATTAAAGGACCTTATCATGGCATTCTTATCGTGAAGGAACTTGGATTTCAGACATCTGATCTTCATGCTGGTAAAAAGCCTGTAAGGGTCTACAACAGAGATCGTTGCCTTTCTGAGAAGACCTAGGTCATCCTCACTGACTCCCCTACTTTCTAACTTTTACTGGTTGTGGAGAATGGAAAATATTGGGTGGTGAATTGTTGCAAGTCCCTCATTTGGTCCCCAAAGAAGAGTTGTTCTACTTAGAAGAGGAAATAAAAGGAAATTGTATATTTTCTCTAGACAACGTGTTTCCTCTTTGCTTGTATATCTTCTGATGGTAGAATGTGCAGCCAGACACAGCAAAGCATTCTATTCAATGGCATTCTTTGCTGGAAAGTTTGTACTGAAGAAATAAATCATTGCATTTTTCCGTAGGAAATGAACTTTTATTTTATAGTAAGCTTAGTTCTTTCCAACAGGATCATTCACTAATTTCCTTGAATTGGAGATATATTTTTGAACTGACTGAATTTACTAGGTATATTGCTCAGAAGCAAATTGTTTCCTCTTTTATTCTTCTGGTTCCTTTATATTAACGTTCTTTTGTTTTTTTAAAATTATGTCCAATAAATCTTCATGTAACAGACATGGAAAAATATACACTGCAATCCTCTCATCTAATATAATTAGGATCAGTACTTGAGAGTTTAATCAAAAATTCATTAGCCAAAAATATGTAGATGGAAGAAAATTGGATCTGATTTGTTTGTGGAGGCTATGGAGCACTGGCTAACCCAGTGAACTGGTGAGCATGTTAACTAGATTTGGTTAAAAGCACTTCTATGGTTTAGTTTACTTTACTTTGCTTCCCAGTTTAAATTAGATTTCACATACTTTCTTTTGATGAGATACTGCAGATTTTCACTTTAGGTTTAGGTGTATATAAGAGTTAAGAAGAAAGAAAGAGAAGTGCTTCACTTTGGTGTCGGTTCTTGCTTATGGTTAGAAGTTCGGGGTCTAGATTCAGATCGCTTTGGTTCAGGTTCTGACCCACTACTTGGTTAACTGTGGACTCTTGAGCAAATCAGGTGACCTTTTAAAAGTTCAATTAAAAAAAAAAAGGAAGTCCAATTTTCTTATCTATAAAAAGCACAATTTCCATAGAGTATCTGTGAGGCTTAAATGAGAGAAAACACTGGGAGTTACATAAGAAATGAAATAACACTTTTATATCAAGTGATACCTTGGTGGTATCATTATGTCTTTATGGTATCAGTATCACCAAGTTCAAGAATTGATCATAACTATGGCCATACCGCTCTGAATGCGCCGATCTCCATCTCAGAAGAATTGCTTATAAATTTCAGCTGATTTGCATAAGGGGAAATTTCCCATTGCAGTTATAAGTGTTTCTCCTAATAGCTGAGATTTGAAAAGTAGGCTTTCTGCTGTTTGTCTCAATATGTAGGTAGAGACATATGCTGGCGCTCAGAACTTCAGTAGAATTCCATCAGTCAGGCCTTCTGCTAGTTGCACTTATGTCATATTTGCATTTCTCAATTTTTGACTAGCAAATAAACTCATCACTAAACCACTTTAGTGATAGAAAATATTTGAAATGAGGTGTGGTGGTCCATGCCTATAATCCTAACTAATTGGAAAGCTAAAGCAAGTGTATCCAAAAACAATTAAGCCCAGCCTGGGCAACTCAGTAAAACCCCATCATAAAATAAAAATACAGCTAGAGATGTAGCTCAGTGGCACAGTGCTTACAAGGCTTGTATGAGTTCCTGGTTTCAATTTCCAACACTGAAAAAAAGTAAGATTTTTAGAAAGAGTTAAAACCAAAGAATACAAGATAATAAAGATACATTCTTCACTCACATACAAGCTATCCAGATGTTCCTTAGCGTAGCTACTATTGTTCAGGAAGAAAAAGATCAAGGACCAGATAACAAAGGATAAATCACTAAGGCTGTATATGGTGACACACATTTGTAATCACAGCATTTTAGAGAAGCTGGTGCAAGAAGACCACAAATTTGAGGCCAATCTGGAGAATCTGTGACTTAGTAATACCCTCTCTCAAAATAAAAATATG